CCCCAAAACCCCAAAACCCCAAAACCCCAAAACCCCTAATTCTTTAAGAGTTATCGAATTATATAATTTATAAATGAATCCTAACCCATACCACCCATTCAACAGATCAAACTCAATTTATGCTTCAGGAGATTATAGCCAGATCAACCCTTTCGCTCCTACAGTTAGGCCAAAGAATTCAGAGGTAAGTAAAGAGCAACTGGCCAGCCTGTTTCCCTTTAAGTTGCCAGATTTCACCCTGAAGCTGGGATAAATGCTGTTTTGATTAATAAGTTTTTACGGTCATCTAGTTTATAAGAAAAAACATAAAAATCCTTCTTTGAGATTTTAGTCCATTTCCATACGGAAATGCTTACTTCATATAGGAGAAAATAGCAGCCAAACCTTATGTGCAATACACTAAGTCGATGAGGTCTCAAGATAATTTTGTCATGAGGAGTTTGGATAATGGAGGCATGCAGCCTAACTTCTTCTGTTGTAACAATTTAATGACTGGTTCTAACACATTCAACAACAATTTCCTGCCTAATATGAATATTATGCAGAAATCTAACGATTTCGGCATGATCAATGATTCCATTGAGCATCTTGATAAAGCCAAGAAGAGAACTAGCAAGTAAGAATATTCTTTGATTTTCTTACTAACTTTCTTATAGGAAAGGCATGAACAACCTAGCTCCACTAAATTCAAACTCAGAGGTGTTGAATAAGGAAGTAGCCAACCAAATTCCTAGAGGTAAGAATTTTTCTTGAAAATTAAAAGCCTATTAAAGTAGCAATTTAACTAACAAATTATGTTTTAGGTGAAAATTTAGCGAATAATCAACCAAAATTCTCGACTCTTTTGAGCAAGCCCAGGATGAGATATACACAAATGAATTCAAAATCTGCTGATTTCAATGACTTTATCCTTTCCAGGTCTGGTCAATTCAATAGCTGGATGATGAGTGGCAGAAATTTCCCTACAAATATGAATTTCGGAGATAGAGCAAGCGAGGTGAGCTACGGAAGAAGAAACAGTGGTGATGGTGATCAGCTATACTCATAAGTTCAACCTCCAAGTACTTTTGAAACTAAGAAAACTATTTTGAACAATACTTTAGCTGTAAGTATAAATGCTATTATACCTAGGAAATAGAACCTGCTGATAGAGCTTCAGGCCTAGGCGACTTTGGCAATGCTCAAGGCTCAAATTTCTTCAGTGAGAAATTGGAAAGCTTGGAAAAGTATCCATTTTCATTCGAGGATTTACAATCATTTCCAATTCCACCAATCCCAAAGGAGTACAAACCTTATAACAAGCTTTATGCTCCCAGTAAATATGATGAATTCATCGAAAAACTTTTAAAGGAAGCAGACTCACTCATCTCTAATGAACAAATAGAAAGAGCAAAGGTGTTATACCTTCAAGTCATCAAGCTAGACCCATACATGGGTGATATCTGGAGGATCCTCGGAATGATCTATTACAATGAGGGAAAGTATCTGGAAGCATTCAACTGCTTCCATGGGTATGTCTTCCACAGGGACACAGAGGAAGAAGATCCTGCATTCTGGCTCCAAATGTGTGATGTATATAGAAAAATTGAGCTCTATGATCACTCCACCACCGTCCTTAATAGTATTCTCAGTATGAAATGTGACAAACAGATAATCCTAAAGACTTACTATACTTTGGGGGCAATTTACTGTGAGATCTACGAACTTGAGAAAGCAATAGAAGCTCTCAAGAAGGCTCTCAAAGTGGACAACATCAGCAAGCCGGCAGCCTTCAAAATCTGGCTCATGATGGGGCAAATAGAAGAGGAAAAATCTAGCTATGGCAATGCTATAGAATGATACAAAGAAGCCCTCACCCTTGAAGTCAATAATAGGAATGCTTATGCATACCTTGCTTGGTGATGATTCAAAATAAAAGACACTAAGCAATGAAATGAATACATACAAGCATTGAACGGCTCCATAAGTGGTACAATAGACGAAGAAGCCCTGGTCTGTAGATATATCCAAGCTAGAAACTTTGCTGAGTCATACAGTACCCATAATTCTTGCAAAGTTCTCAAGGATTGTGTGAGCAATGACCCTAGAAACCCTGCTTTCCTCTGTTCCCTCTCAGTAGTCTTATTTGAGACTAATGAGGTGGAGGAGGCACTCACATATGCGAAAAGAGCGGTAGAAGAAGATGAATCAATCCCTGAGATTCTTTTCAATTACTCAGTCCTTCTTGAAAGAATAAGTAGAGAACAAGAAGCAGTTCAATATTATGAGAAATTAGAGAGATTCCTCAAATTCGAAGATTTTGCTAAGAGTAGGCTAGAAATTATTAGAGAAGGAAAAGAAAAACTACCAGAGAATTCTCTTAGAGAAAGAGTTGTCCATCTCAATCATCCTACTAATATCATGAAGGAAGGCCTTAAGATATATAAGAAGAAGGTAAGCCAGAGTTCAAAACAGATAAAACAGCAATTCAATACCTTGAGCACGAAAAAGATGAGCCATCAGTCAAAGTCTCCTGATAGAACAGTAAGGTTCGATAACATAGCTTCAAGCAGAGGCTCAATAGACTCTGAACGGAAGGTAGACTATCCATTGTCTTTATTTGGGAAGAGCTTTAAACACAAAGCGAAGAAATCTCAAGAGATCCAGGAAGGTAGGCTTGCCTTTACCCTATAGATCTTTCTGCTTCAAGCAAGCCTAATGATAAGATGAGCTTCATTGAAAAGATGCGTAGCACTGAGAGGAATAAGATTAAGAATAACCCTCCTCCTTCAATATTCAACTTCAAGCCAAGACCAAAGTGCAGAAAATAATTCTTCAAAGGGATCTCCTAATAAGACATTTCAAGGCTTCGATTCCACCAATAAAGGTTTGACCCCTACTAGCTCTAAGATGCTCATGATGCATACTTAAAGAATTTAGATTTCGAATAGCTTAACCTTGTTAGATAAATCAACTAATAAAATGTATCAACCAATCTACTGAATTGCATCAGGGATGGAATTTCAGTCATTCAGCATCTTAATTCACCTTAGGAGGAAACCCAAAAACAGAATCAGAGATCAGCTTTGGCCAAAATAACATGAAATCAAACGATTTTCTCACAATGGTGACCACTTATCTAGAGGTATGAGCTTTATGACCTATCTGTAGAGGCATGATCCCAGCAAGAAAAGGGAAAACACTCAAGAGAAGACCAAGGGTATAGATTATGAATTTACTTTGTAGAATTTGAAAGCCTCATGATGGACCTCCAGAAACTATGAAGCGGGGTAAGATCTAGAACCAAAATTGCTCAAGGATTAAAAATATCAACTCCTGAGTTCATAGCTCTAAAAAATACCTTAATGTACTTTATAGTATAATCATAACAAAGAAGACGATACAAAACCAAAAGGAACATTGGATATGACTAAAAAGATAACCCCTACATTCCAAACCAAATCATTAGATAACAACCATAGCGGAGACTTTGGTGCTCCAAAAGACTCATAAATAAATTCACTCCAATAAATTCTGAACCACACACTCACAATTCCTTCCTCCAAACATAATCTATTCCAAAAAACCCATCTACTAATACCCATTTTTCCCCCTAAAATCCCCAAAATTCCTCAAAATAGACCCCTTCCTCCATAATTTCTTCCCGACCAAAGAGTCTAGGAAGAAGGGACTTCTAAGGTTCTGTACAGGCCTGGGGCGGAGGATTGGGACTGACTGGGACAAGTAGGATTGGAGAGGAGATTAGGAGGGGAAGAGGGGTGGAGGAGGTAAGGGAGTGGGAGATGGGGTGGTTGGGGGGTTTAGCTGGGTGTTGATGGTGTAAAGGAGGTTTTTGGTTATTTTAGGGGTGTATTTCAATGGGGGTGTTGTGAAGGGGTTTTGGGGTTTTGGGGTTTTGGGGTTGGGGTTTTGGGG